GGGAAGAGGATACACAAAGGTCTGAATACCAGGGGGGCAGAAATCACACACAGAGAGCCATCTTAGAATTCTGCACACCACAATAAGTCAACTCAGTTTTTGTGAGGTTTACATGTTAGTGGAAGACAATAAGCTAGTCATGGGTAAAAGTCAGACTTGTGGATTTGACATAGTAGATGCTATGAGAGAGGGTTCATTACCCAGAGAGGAAAACGAACGGCCAAAAACGCTCTTGGTCTTGGGAAGATGTTTAGTATTTAGGGAAGAAAGAGGACCTAGCAAACTGAATGTAGGAGAGACAGTAATAGTGAAATGTCACATAAGTAAGAAGAAATTTCAAGAGCAGCGTGATTAAGAGAGTCAAATGTAGCAGCAACCAAGGAGGACGCTGGTGCAGTCCACTAGCTTAACTATGCGGTGGCCTTATAGAAAGTTGTTCAGGGCAGTGGTGACGTTAGAGTCAAGGTTGAAGTGAATTAATGGAGCCGGGATGTCAAAACGGTGAAAGAAGGCTTCTGAGATGTCCCATCCCAGTCCAGGGCAGTGCCAGGCTTGACTTCTAGAAGATGAGCCTGTTCCCAGGTCCTTTCATTCTAGCTCCATCTATGTAGCCCTCGGCTGACTTTCATTCTGGGGGGTGTGGGGTGGCAGCACAGTTTGTGTTGGGGCTGTCTCTGGGCTCTTCTGGGAAAGGGAAAATGACACTGTTAGCAGAAAACGCAAGTAATCTACCAACTTGGGGAAATCTGAGGTAGGGAGCCTTTCTGCTCTCTGAATTAAAAACGGACTCTTCTATCTCATCCTGTGAGTTGAATTTTTAATGACTAGTACAAAACCTTACTTGGTTTCTTTCTGGCCAGGCCTTATTTCTTTCAAGCCAGGAGCCCAGCTGTCCTTACTGTTTTGTAGAGATCAAGTAGAATTTGGAGGAAATGAAATAGTAGGAAGGATTAAGCAATTGTTGGACCCCAGACAGACATTCTGAGGCTCTTGAAATACCAGCATTGAAAGGGGGTATCATTAATCAAATGCAGTGTTGCCATATAGAAGCTAAATTTAATTCTAATCTAACAAATCCGTAAATGAAACTCTTTCTCTTTACTCTGTCCCACCTTTCTCCTTTCATTCAGAAGATCAACCTGTGTTTTATTACGAGAGCTATATAGCTAAAAAAAAAATAATAACACATGGAATATTAGGCATCTGATTCTACCAATATGGCAGTAATAATGTCTGGCTTTCTTGTCTCTCACTTTCATTATTTGTTACAAAAATTTACTTCCATCACAGAGTAATTAACATAAGTATTTCACCATCATTTTTTTCTTTATCATTTATCCCATGTTAAAACTTCCTGGATATAAATACTATGTGTAAAAAAATAGGATTAAAGCCTACAGCTTTAAGAGTTTATAATCATCTCTGCAGCCTGCAGTGTGTTCATCTAACATTTTAAATAGATTTTTCCATCATTTAAAACCAATAGACTAAGTGCTATGCACACTGTTGTAAAGTGTATTTCATGCCTCACTGGGCTTTTCTGTCTTTAACTTTCCAATATATGTCATTTGATTAAAATTTTTGACTGGTCAGAATAAGGAGGAATAGACAGAAATTGCTCTTAACAGAATCTCCAGTGTGCCTAGTATTATAATTGAAGCCGAAATGAACATCTTTCTCTGTAGGAAGCTAAAGAAAGTCTTTGTTCCATTTTTACATGGGAGATCATCTGTTATTGTAACCTAGACACCTAAACCCACTCCAGATTCAAAATGTGCCATTTATAAACATGCATGCCAAGTTTCAAATGCCCTTTTTGAATGTTTGCATGTAATTTGAAGCTTGCAACGCCAAAGTAAAATACAGTTTCCATTGTATTGCATCTCCCACACTGCATGTGAGGTGCCTCTTTTCTCTGACATAGCTTGAATAGACGAAGCATAGTTTGACTTTATTCAAAAAGAGGAATGTTTCTCAGTTCAACTGAAATGATTGCTAGGTATATGCTGCCAACTTCATTTTCCCCCTTGCAGAAATGTACATTTTTCCCTATTATAAAATGTACTCATAATAGAAATGAGACGGTTCCCAGGAGTGTGATTATCCAAAGGTAATCTCAACCCAATCTGATTAGAGGCAAGTGGCTCATGCCTCAAAATGCTCCAGGGTATGATTATTTTATGATAACCATACTCTGTATCATGTCTTATTGATTAACTAATAAAGCGTCAGCAATGCTATTTAGAAGAAAAGCTGAGAAACCAGGGGGAAGGTAACTGGTTCTAGAAAGGAAGTGATTCATTCAGAACACACAAACTACCTCTTTTGCAACACCTCTTTACAATTTCAGGTGGTGCGCAAGAGGTCAGCACATGCCTATGTTAGTATCTTTGGTGATAAGCTCATTAATTTGTTAAATATGATGCAGTTAGTTACGTTTAAGTGTACCCTAAATTGCTACTTCTCCCTGTTACTGACTTTGTGAGAGAAGAATGGCATTCCTTTAAAGAATGCTGTACTCTGTTCTCATCATCCGGATGACTTGATCACCCAGGTCCAGAGAGATACAGATAGAACCTGAAAAACACTACCTAGCTTGCCTGTAGTAGCTGTATGCTGGTCAAATCACCTAGCATTAGAGTGAGAAGAGCCTATGACTAGCAGGCAAACATTTTGCAGATACAGTAGCTTAGGGGCTCTTACTAGGAGTGTGTCCCCTGGGACAACATTCAGCCATCCACAATATTCTTATCATTCCCCATAACGATGACTACACATCTATAGAAAAAGGTGGGGTGAGGGAATTGAAGCAACTGCCTTAGGTGACTCAATTGAACAACCTATTTTGTCACAATTACTTTATGTTTTCTTTGTAAATATAAGCTTATGGCCTGAATTACCAAGTTCATTTCTCCAGAATTCCATTTCCTCTTCCTATGTAGACATAGCTGATATATTCAAATTGAGACATATTCCACAAGTAATAGTGCCCAGCTCTAGTTCTTGGTGATGTATCTTTTTGATAAAACTTAACTGTCTGAGAAGTAGAGTTTAGTCAGTTCTATTATAATTGGTCAAGAGTTACCAGGTGCTAGTCAGGAGCTCTTTCCCTCCTCAATTCATTTCTTTGGCTATACATTATTGATGTCATCTGAGCAGAATAACACTTTGAGAAGATATACATAAGGTTAGCTTAATTTATACATGTCTGCTTTAAGTATCCCACTGTTCACAGAGCCAGTGGTATTTTTATCTTCAAAATCCAAACCTGCTAGAATGGAATTTCTGCTAATTTCCCAAAGAACATTTCACCAGAACCTCTATCTTTAAGATCTAAGTTTAGTATTTGCCTCAGAACCCATCTGAACTACTTTCAAAAGACCCTTAAAACTGATCAAACTGATCACATAACACACATCTTCCTATTAGCCCGATGCTGCTTCTCTCCTTTTCTAAAACAGGATTTTACTGCCCATCTCTTTTTTCTTCTGATAGTACCTTCCCCCAACCCCACCATTAGACTTTCTGTTTGTTTGTGTTGTTTGTTTCTGCTGGATAAACACACTTGCTCTAAATTATCTTTGGCACTCTTGCTCAGCAGGACATGAAGACTCTGCCTTCTAGCCTCCAGCAATTAAGGGACCACGGGAACTCTAAAGACTGATGATGGCATTTGTCCTAAGAAGAGTTGTGCAAGAAGAGCTTCCCCTACTCTTCACTGGAGAGTAGAGAAAAGAGCCAACCACTCAGCTGGTTCTGACCTTCTTCTCAGACATTAGTGCCATTTCCTGCTATTTCCATACTTTTCAACATGGATGAGGCATCTAACATTCTCATGTTTTTCTTTCCTGCTTGCACTTACTTCAGGTGTTTGTTTTTTACAATGAGGAGCAGAAATAACTTAGACATAAGAAAACATGAAAGACGTTGTATGCCCTCCTATCTTATCTTTTCATTTCTGTGTCTCTGGCTGTCTTTTTGGGCTGTGTAGTTCGGTAAGCCCCCATTCAAGTCAGAATGGGCTAAGTTATGCCGCAGTAACAAACAACCATACAATTATATTGTTATTAAAATAACAAAGACTTTATTCACACTACAGGTGCATAATGAGAGAATAGGATCCACCCCACATGTCTTCAGTGTAGACCCAGGTTACCAGGAACACTACTGTGCACTATAGCAGAGAGAAAGAGAGCTCTGGAGAGTCTTGGATTGGTCAAGTGCTGTGGCCCAGAAATGATACATATCACCTCTGCTTCCACCTCATTGCCGACATCATGCACATCATCCTTCCAACAAGGATTACACCAAGGCAAACAGACAAGACGCCAGTGGATGCCTGAAACTGCTGATAGTACCAAACCTTATGTTTTTCCCATCTGGCAACTGAGATGGCTACTAACTGGCTGATGAGTGGGCATCTAAAGCATGGAGACACTGGACAAAGAGAGGATTCATATCCCTGGTGGGACAGACTGGGAAGATCAGAGACTTCATTGCAATACTCAGAATGGCTCACAGTTTAAACTTATGAAGTGCTTATTTCTGGGATTTTCCATTTAATTTTTTTTTCATAATTGAGATTTTATTGATTGAGGATCAGTACAGACATTTCAATTTGTACACAATTCTTAACATATGTAATGAAATTCTAAAAAGCCATGTATTGTAATTCTTTTTTAAAGTTATTCCAGTGACTTTCCAACGTAAAATTTGGAAGCAAATTTTCCTTAAGAGGCTATCAAGTACCAGTATCTTCACATGTTGGTCAGCTGTTACATATGGCCCATCAGTTCACAACTGAATAGCATGTACACTACATATTCAAATCTGTAATCTTTCACAGCACAGTAACAAAGTTATCAGGAAAACAGGACTCCCACAACCAAAGATGTTACAGAGTGCACACAATTCTGACAGGGAGCACCATGATCAAGGAGTGGTTTTCTTTAGGAAACAATTCTACTAAAAAACATGAGAATAGAAGTCAAATAAAATGTTTAAGACATTAAATGCAGGACTGACTCCATATTGCCATTTAATATACATTCTAGGATATAAAAACTAACCCCCCATCTATGGAATGTTAAGCTGACACCCGAGACAGTCAAAGCCTCCCATAATTCAATATCCCACACTATTTTCTAGTTGTACCAAAAAATAAACCAGCAAATGATTTCACCTCTTAAAAAAAAGCATTTACACTTAAAAAATGGGATGAGGTGGGATTCCCTCCTTCTTAAAAATGTTTCTAGAGCTACTAAAAAACTTGCATTTACAAAATAGTTGATAAAAATATTCCTCTGGATTGTACAAGAAGGGACACAGGGACCACTGGTAAGACATGGTATATGGTATTAATCAGACTTGGCTTCTTTCTCTCCTGCTTCATCAGAGGCTGGACTCTCCTCAGTTTTCATTTCCCCGTTTTCTGCAGGTGAATCTTCTTTAGTTTCTTGGTTAGCCACTTCGGCCTGTTTTCCCTTTGCTCCCCTTTTCCCTTTTGTTTGCACTTTTTTGTCTGAAGATTTATCCTTCACTGCTGCCTTTTTCAGCTTCACTTCCACTTTTGCAGGAGGTTAAGCTGACAACTGCCCCGATCTCCTCTTGGGCTCTTCCTTGGCGGCCCCTTCGGCGGAGCTGACCTGCGGGGACAAGGAGACCCGCCAATCTCCATTTAATATTTTTAGACCTCGGTTGACTGCCATTTACTATGGGTAACAGCCCTGACAAATGAAACCTCAGGTAAGGGGACTACTGTGCAGGGCTGTGGGCATCTACAGTGGGGGATTGCTGGAAATGCTTGATGAACAGCATGAATGGCGATCACATGCCCTCAACCGAAACAATGGAGACATCTTTTTCTGTCTTACAAAGAAGGCCTTTTGCGTCTTCTCTCCATTACTTAATAAATCCTCACAGTACCTCAAAACCTTGGATTAGGCATATTTTTCTCAAATGTTAAGGCTCAGCGATAAATTCATTAGTTTTCTATTTCTGCATTAGAAAATACCCCAAACATAGTGACTTCAAATAGCTTACATCTATTATCAAAGAGCTTCCCCAGATGGGAAGTCTGGGTATGAGCTAGGTGGGCGTTCTGCTCAAGGTCTCACTTAGCTGGAATCAAGGGTCAGCCAGGGCTGCAAGTCCCTCAGAGGCTTCGCATCCTTTGCTAGTCTCACTGGTCCTTGGCAGAATTCAGTTGCTTTGGGTTGTTGGAGTGAAGTCCCAGCTTCTTGCTGGTCGTTGTTTGGGGACTACTCTGGGTTCTGGGGGTGCCCTCAGATTCTTGCTACATGTCCTGTATTAGCAGTTCACAACATGACTGTCTGCCTTTCCAACATGAGCAGGAAAAATCTCTCTCACTTCAAATATCTGAACTCTTGTAAGGTCTCCCTGATTAGCTTAGGCCCACCCGGCATAATCTGTCTTTGTATTAACTCAAAGTCAACTACTTAGGGCTCTTAATTTCATCTGTTTATACCTTCTGCCATTCATCATAACCTATTGATATAGAGAGTGATATTCCATTATATCCATAAGTGCCTTCACACTCAAGGGAAGGGAATTATTCAGGGCATATACACCAGGGGGCGGGAATCTTGGGGGCCATCTTAATAATTTTGCCAACAGAGACACAGAAAGGCCACTGCAGTTAGAAGCCAGTCTTGAAAGTTGATTGAATTGATGTGTTTAGGACCATCTTACTAGCTGGCTTTATAGAAAATCTTGGAGTGTTCAACTAATTAATTAAAAGACAGAGAGAGAGAGGAGAAAGCTGGTATGAAACGGTTTGATTTGGTGCTGCAGGTAGAGAGGGCCATGAGGGCAGTGAGGAGCCAGGTATGAGTCAGATCAGCTTCCAAGTGCCAAATTTCCAGCGTATGCCCAAGTGCCACGCTGTCTCTTTAACAATGATATATGTGGCATTCTTAGTTGGCCCATGACAGTGTATCTGATTGTATCTCCCTTTTGATTTCTTTTTAAGTTTTACTTCTGAAAACAACACTATTATTTTTGCATGATTCTCTTCTCTCTGGAGTGAACATTTGTTGTTCTGCTTCTTGCCCAACTGCTTAAGATGGCTCATTATTCTATAATATGTGCAGTATTGGCCAGAAGTAATTTTCCTTTTATTTTTGCCCACAAGGTGGAAAATTAAGGATGAAATACAACTTTATTTTTCCTTTTCCCAGAAAAGGTGACAAGGTAGTTTTTTCTGCCTGTTTTTCTATTAGCAGTGAAATATTATTTTGGCTATAACAGTTGACTACTTCATCCTATTTTGGCAAAATAGAATGTAGAGAGACTCTACTTTTTTATCCATTCCAATGTGATAGAGAATTTCAAGAACTGTAGTAGTAAAGAACTACTTTTCTTCTTTTATAGACCTTTTCTTCTGTTTACCTTTCACATCATTTTATGACCAATACCTAAGATGAGCTAATTTGATGAGAAAGTGTAATTTTTTTTTTTTAGCTAAGGAATATTTAAAGAATCCATAGAGTCCTGGAGCAGCCATTCAGTATTTATTCAACACAAATTCTTGAATAAGTACTATGAATATAGCACTGCCCCAGCCACTTGAGACATATAAGAAAGATCTGGTTTCTGCCTCAAAGAGAATAGTTAGTAGGAAAGCACATAAGTTCAGCATCAGACAGACCAGGGTTTGAGTCCTTGTTCTGCTACCCGCTGGATGTAAATCTCATGCATATTCCATATTTCCCTACTTCTCAGTTTCCTGTCTGTAAAATGAGTGTTATGAACTCTGTTTCCTTATATTGTGAATATTAAAAGACTCCAGTAAGATAAAAAATATATTACATCATGACCAAGTTAGGATTATATGAGAAATGGATGAATCATTTAATATTAAAAATTCCATAAATATAATCCACCCATTAACCAATCATTAGAGAAAAACCATATGATCATCTCAGTAGATACAGAAAACACATTTGAAAAAATGATGTGGTTTGGCTTTGTGTCCCCATACAAATCTCATCTCGAGTTGTAATCCCTTTGTGTTAAGGGAGGGACCTGAAGTCCCCATATGCCGAGGGAGGGAAGTGATTGGATTATGGAGGCAGTTTCCCCCATGCTGTTCTCGTGATAGTGAGTTCTCACAAGATGCGACGCTTTTAGAAGTGGCAGTTTTTCCTGTGCTCACACTCACTCTGTCCTGCCCCCTTGTGAAGAAGGTACCTGCTTCCCCTTTTGCCTTCTGCCATGACTGTAAGTTTCCTGAGGCCTCCCCAGCAATTCAGAACTGTGGGTCAATTAAAACTGTTTCCATTATAAATTACCCAGTCTTGGGTATGTCTTTATAGCAGTATGAAAACAAACTAATACAAAAAAACTTCAATATTTAATCATGATTAAAAAGAAAGCTCTCCGCCAACTCTTATGAGCTTCCTTATGAGATAAAGTGCCTACCAAAAACCTGGAGTAAACGTCTTTATTAATGATGAAATGTTAGAAGCATCCATTTAAAATCAGTCCTTAGCTAATAATGGTCATCTGTCATCAGTTCTTCATTTAACATTATACAGGACTTACACAGCAAGACATGAAAAAGAAAGAAAACTGTAAGAACTGAAAAGCAAGAAACATGACTCCTAATATTTATGGAGGATATGACCACCTACAAAAGAACCCAACGCATCCTATATACAAAGAATTAGGGTTTAAAAGAGAGGTTTTTAGGCTGGTTTAATATATGATTAGTATGTAAAAACCAATTTTATTGTATACTCTAGCAACAAACAGTTGGAAAAACATGTATTAAAAGGTTTTTATTTATAAAGAATCTAGAAATTAATATAACAGAGAATTTGTCAGATCAATATGGAAAAATGTATAAAATGCTTTTCAAGTCCTTACCCAGCTTGTATTCCACAGTCAATAATTATAACCACTCAGATTATAGGCATATGCTCAAATCCTTTACATTTTTCCTGCTTTAACATTATGGTCTGACTAAACCGAATTCATAGTTCTATCCAACACTTCCTCTAACCTATATACTTGCACCTGCGCAACTGAATGTGCTGGAATACAATAACACAAACTTGCTGACTGGTTTTACTTTAAATTCAGAATTGCCAATCTCAGTTGAGCCCTACGAAAGCCCTGCAATTATATTATCTTCTTTTGGTTCACCCTTGCTTCCCTTCTCTTAGACAAGTGTCTTCAAAATGGACACATAACCATAGAATCACCATATGATCCAGAAATTTCACTTCTGGGTATATATCCAAAAGAATTAAAAGCAGAGGCTTAAATAAATACATATTTGTATACATCATGTTCACAGAAGCATTATTCAAATTGCCAAAAAGTGGAAACAGCCCAAATATCCATGGATAGATGGAAAAACAAAATCACACACACACACACACACACACACACACACACACGAATATTATTCAGCTTTTAAAAGGAGTGATAGTCTGATACATACTACAGCATGGATGAATGTTGAAGACACTACACTAATGGAAATAAGCCAGTCACAAGAAAACAAATATTGTGTGAGGTACCTAGGATAGTTAGTTTCACAGAGACAAAATGATAAGACTGGTTGCTGATGGCTGGGGATGGAGGAATGGGGAGTTGCTTAATGGGAACAGAGTTTCCATCTGGGATGATGAAAAAGTTCTGGAGATGTGTAGCAGTCATGGGGGCACCACAATGTAAATGCACTTAATGCCACTGAATTGCACTTCAAAATGGCTAAAATGATCAATTTTATGTTTTATATATATGTTTAATTACAATTTTAAACAAATGATACATGAAGAATTTCTAAGAGACACGTTGGCAAGGACGCTTTTAAGGGAGTCACTTTGCAAATTTACACTTTCCCCAAATTACCTTGCCTGAGAACATCTGAAATTTAGGAGTTTCCTTTCACAATTGCTCTTCTCTTTTTACGAAAATAGGAAAAATACATTCTTCTTATCTGTTATGAATCTTAGTATGCTCCATGGCCTAGTCCATAAGGAATTAGATACAGAAACAATCTGAAATATTGGTATTTGTGTTAAAAAAACAAATGAGTATTATTGGGGAATATAACTATTGCAGCTCAGTTTCCTATTCTTTGCTTTTAATTAAACTGAACAAGAACTAATTACATTGTCAGTTGATAGATCATTAAAAATATTTTTTAATAATAGATATAAAAATGTTTGTAAAAATGCTTTTTGGAAATAATATTTGTGATTTCTACTACATAACTCAGAAGAGTTTCAAAAATTCCATAACTTTGCTTTAACAAAAGTCGTTCTCTTCCCAGCTGGTTATATAAATGAAATTACATCTTTTGCAATGATTTAAATTTATAATGAAAAATTTTAGTTGCCACTTAAAAAATATATGAGGAAATATCATTTTTCAAAATTATTTTAGGAGGTATGAAAGCAAAAAAAGTTTGATGATTGCTAAACTAGCGGACTGCTTCACATTATTTCCTCTCTTCGCAAAGCACCAACTTCTCCCAGATTCTGTTAGCTGATGACCTTGC